ATTTTACAGACTAAGATAAAATTATAATATTGGATGAACATGCAATGCAACATATAATGCAACTCCAGCCATGATAGGACTGGGGTATACTCTGGACAGGTCACAAATGAACCTGTCACAGTTTGGGACTTCAGAGTAAAGCCCGAGTGCTCAGACAGAACCCTCAGTGTATTTCCTCATGTGGGGAGATCAGGATGATAACTGGCTGCAGCTCCTGTAATTAGCCAGTACCTTACTGCTAGTCTTTGATGAGCCTCAGACACCCTCTGATTCTGTCCTGGACTCAGAGAGCTGTGGTGGACTGTGGAGTTTGCACTCTGATGACACTTCAACCTCAGGTTCTGATGTCTCAGATGTTTTCTGAGACTGGCTCTGGTTCTCCAGTGGAGCTTGGGGTTGCTTCTGTTGAATCCTGGGTTCTGGTGGGTCCTGCAGCTGGCAACTGGAACCCAGATGCAACTGTCTCTGCAGCTCCTCAGCGCTGTGGGCTAGCATGATGCTCACCTTCCTCTGGTGGGCCAGGGCCTCCTCCTTGTCGTTCAGCTACACCAGAAAACACAGTATTAAAAGTCAAATAACATTTGTTACAAAGGCCCACCCACAGAGCTTGTTGCACATCACTTTGTTGCAGACGGTTGGTCACTAGTGGACTTCTTTCGTTGTCAGGTTACAGACGAGCATTTGTATTTATTTTTCGGAGTTTTTCTATAAATTAACATTTCTTGATGAAACCGTTCTATCACAGAGAAATATACTAACCAAAAGAAAGATACTAACCAAGTCCAGCAGCTTGTAGAGAGTCTCTAAATGTTCATCAGGCATCTTCATCTCCAGACCAGAGGGGAGCAATGCCTTCAGCCTCTTACTTACACTTATTAAAGGACTCTTGTTGGCACCTGTAGACAAAACAGATTGAGAAGCATTTGTAACATGATTTGTTTACATCGTTTTCACTGTCGCAGTGCAAACGTTCCCGTGCCAGCTTCCTTTAGCTTTGATGTCCGAACAGACAAATGAAGACAAGTGAGCGTAATGTCCACCGTCCTCTGCATAATTACTATCACTTAAAACAAACTGCTTCCATCAGTGACTGTGTCTGATTTGTCCAAAGTTATTCCACGGAAAAATCGGCATTTATTTTGAACGGAGGTCAAATTTGCGCGGCTTCAATACACAAGTTAGTTTTTGCTTTGCCACGAGAGGCGCATCAGTGGCAGCTTCTGTTCTGAGCTTTTTAGGGGTTTCAGTGTTTGTCTTTGTACTTCTTTGGTACCTTGTTAAGTATTTGTGCACTATTTTTATTTCTTCACCTAAAATAATAAATCAAGTCCATGTGTATCTTTAGTTATTGCAGCTGATTCTGTGTGGGTCGGGGGAGAGTCGTTTCTCTGACCTGCTGTGTGAACACCTAATAAAGGGCAAATTCAAACAATGCTCAACATACGTCCCACAACACTGTCTGCATATGCAAACACAAGTACGGTGACCTGTGTTCTCAGAAATGATCTGCTATTATGAAATAGAAAGTTTGATTCCATCTACTCTACTGTAATTTGAAACAGAAAGACCATTTTTAAAACCCTGACACACCTACTTTACCAACACCAAGCAGCGAATCCTGTGTTTCTTGGACTGGATCATATAAATCTGAAGAAACAAGCCTCATTAGCATTTTAACAATTTATTAATTTAATAGTTAAGGGCCTCGTGTGGGCCCCACCTCCCTGTCTACTCTACACTACCCAAAATTACACTTTTGGGCAAAACCCCCCAAAATTAAATCTTTAAAAAATATGAGATGAATTCCCTGGGGTGGCTGTAGCTCAGGCGTCTCAGGCATTTACTGATCGGAAGGTTGGTGGTTCGATTCCTGACCTCCCCTAGTCTGCAAGCCAAATATCCTTGGGCAAGATACTAACCCTAAAGTGCTCTCCGATGCATCCATCGGAGTATGAATGTGTGTGAATGTTAGTGTGTGAATGGGTGAATGCACAAGTTGTGTAAACTGCTCAGAAGAGTAGAAAGGTGCTATAGAAGAACCAGAACCAGTCCAAAAGCAAACGATCCAGTTAGTGTAGGACGTTATGTTGACAGCAGACTTGCCTTCAGCTTTAGAGTGATTTGATTTCTTAATATTGGCCTCGGCTACGAGCAGGAACTCCTCACTTCGCTTCCTCAGCTGTTGTTCAAAGGCGATGCGAAAAGCATCTGCAACCATCAAGGCCTCTTCTTTCCTTAAATGCTGAGCATCCAGCTGTAAAACATACAAACACTAACGCTTCACACCACGGTAAACATTACAGTGGACACAGATGTACCCTGAACACGGTGCACCGAGTGCAAGAGGAACTACTTAATGACTGACACTCAAGAGAAAACCTCGATAAAGACAACAGATGAAACAAAAACTGGGACGCCCCCCTTCTGAGGGGTCCTGGGGAGAATATCTTATTCAAATATATTTAAGCGAGTAAGAAGAGAAAGGAAACCAAATTCTGGAATAAGAAGAGATGACTGTTCCTGAATATTAAGGCTTCCTTTAAGTTTGAATGATAGTAGACCAATGAGGGGAGATCTAAGTTTTGAAAATGTTGGACTTTGCTAAATTCCAGTAATGTCATATGTTGCCAGGTCTGCCCTCTTAAGACAGGGACGTGCTGTCCAACCACCAACCAGGAATCACAGGAATACAAAAACCTACTTGTGGGAGTCATAATATGGTGACTGATCATGTTAATAATGTGGTTTGTATGTTGATTTATTAGGTTTGATGTATGCTAAGACTCATGTCTCATCTGAGTTTAATCAGTAGCTGTTGAATGATCTTCTGTATATGTATATTAGGCAAGGCAAGTTTATTTATAGAGCACAATTCAACAGCAAGGTGATTCAAAGTGCTTTACAGAGACATTAAAAAACAAAAACAATAAAAAGCATGATTTAAAATTGATTAAAAAACAGTAGATAAAATCAAAAATCAAAGCAGATAAAATCAGAACAGTAGATAAAATCAGTAGTTAAA